ACTTTTTTTGCTTAAAGCCTGCATCTCCCCGGCGAATTTTCCTAGAAATCGGTAGAGAGCTCCTTGGCGTTGAGGCCTGTGCCAGGATATTTTAACAATCTCAGCATAAGGAAAAGGTTCTTGCATTTTATTCATTTTTATTAAGTAATACACAAAGTGGTGTAACTAGATCGCTTTATTAACTCTAGATGCATTCACTGGTAGAGTAAGGAGCAACCAGAAATGGCCTGGGTGGACCTGTGGTTCCACTATTGCCTCCTCCCTCGGTGACAACTGACGGTCACGTTGTTAAACAACGGGCAGAATAAACCAAAACTGGTCTGTAACAGCCACACTCTTTAGCTCAAGGTTAACAGTCGAGTTTTCTTTGTTTTATCCTGTTAAGGCTAAAAGTATACGCCCTTTTGTACATACCCCACCCAATCGTGCAAATTTTGCCACTTTTTGCCATGGTACATCTTATGGGGGTGGGATTTTCATTGTTCTTTTTTTTCACCCCGCTGGTTTTGGCCGCTTAGATTAAAGAGGTGAGCTAGAGGTAGACATCTTGTATAGTGTGATGCAGGTTGGCTAGCAAATCATCAAAGTTCTGGGGGAGTGTTCGATGGCTGTCTCCTCCCTCGGGTCAATCACACCCACTCGGTCAAGGGGTTGGTGTGATCTGGCCTCTTCGTTCCTCGAAGTTTCGCATGGTAAAAGGAATCGTAAAGCACTCCTACACGTTTCGTTTGAAAAAATTTTAACCTAACATTAAGTGTTTGTGCTCGTGAACCTGACATCGGTGCTTAGTCGGGACAGTTTTCTAGAAGTGACACGGCAAAGTATTTTACTCGCTGTTTGCGATGTTAGATAAAGCACTCAACAAAAGAGCAAACTGTTTAATCTTTAAGAAGTATTTTTGGACCCTTTTAGACAAAGTTTGTGATGCCTACTTTTGCATTAACCACCACAGATATATCCACCTCTTTGCATGGAAGGCAGTCCTGCTTATTCCTCCAGATAAAATAAGTCGTACAAATAAAAAAGTACCAGATTTTTAGTTCTAAATGCCAATCTCATCTTTTAAAGTACTCTTCATGTCCAAATCACAGTCGTGTTCACGAAGATCAGCAAAGACCCGAGCGGTACGGCGTGTAGTACTCCGCCACCAGCTAACAGAGTGGATATGATTTTACGTAACTAACCTTTGGCTTGGACCATGGAACAACAAATAGTCATTTTTTCTATGCAGGTGGCGGCCAGGTTCATGGTCGTTTTAGTTCGCTTCCCTTACTTCATGATGCAACGCAAAATCGTCTTAAGTCGGATTCATTGAAGGCAGTAACGCCGTTGAACGGATGGCCATTTGTTGCCCATTACGGCGACGTTGGGAATTTTTCTATAATTTTGGATTTTATCCAGCTTAAAGTAGGCTGCAGTCGCTTTTTGCAGTCTTTTAGTGTCATCGGTAAAATTTTATTCTTGAAACGTGAACTCGTTATAAACCGGGGGGATCACATCACCTATGAACAGGCTACTTCGCGGTCTTTGAGCTGGCTTACCGAGGCTGCATTGTAGAGGCAGAATTTGCCATCCAACAGGCTGGCAGGCTCTCCGCATTCTCTAAGGAGAGTCAAAAGATGGGTTTGTTTCGATAGTTTCTTTCCACAATTTGTCAGTTAAATGGGATTCTGAATGCATTCATTATGTCAAAAGCATTCAAGCCTGGAATTTCAAGCTTGTGTCTGGTTGCATTTACGTCAATTTTTTCTAAGTGCTCTTCTGGCAACCACATTACTAAATATAAGGCTACTAAAAAATTAGGATGTAGGCAAATTTGCTAATTAAGTAAAACTTCCTGAAATGATTCAGTTGCCATGAATAAGCTCTGCACACTATTAAAATTCACAATGGCATGGAAGACAGCCCCATCAAAAGCGAATGCAACCACGGAGATGAACTTGCGCGTCTGCCTCACATCTTATTCCCGCAGTACTCAGTCCATGGTATAAGGGTATTTATCCTTAGGTTTTGAGGTAAACTTTATCCAGGGTATCAATTTTTTACTGCAATCTACAGCGGTGACAGGAATACAAAATCATTTAACATGCAATTATTTCCTGAACCTCACTGCTTAGATCAAAACATGGGCATTCAGGAACTTAAAAGCACATCTAGTATAATACAGTAATTTTCCTCGTAGGAATATACCATAGCAGTGTCTACAGTCATTAAAATAATTCCTTATCCTAATGCAGTCAACTACCTTCAAATTCACCAATCAACTCCGCAGTTGCTCTACGAACAAAACCACCAACAGGCAGTTTGGAGAGGAATAGCCTGCCACCGATATGTCCAAACCGTCGAACCCTTCCTCCTCGCGTCGGACATCCCACTCTGCCTTTCGCATACCACCCACAATGCTCCATGGTTCGCATGGTGAGTATCCGCTAAACTTAATTTTTTACTGAAAACAATTAAGTAGGCATTTAAGAACCGATTGCATTTTTGTGCATTATTGAAGGATCCTGAGCACTTTTTGAACAAGTAGACCTTCTTATGGTGAAAATATTCATTCTCTTTAATTTGGCCTGAACTTAAATTTTCGTTAGCACTCATTTGGACATCTACAATTAGGGGGCACTTGAATTCCTGTATCAGGTCCTCTACTACAACAACCTAAACAGGCTCTCTTTAAAATTTTTTAAAGACGCACATCTAATGGAAGGCAATCACAGGTTGCTGATAGTAGTTTCCCCTTGAACAAAAAGACCTACACCATGAAGTCGCTACAAACTCCAAAAATCGACTTCATTTCTTTCCCCCTTTTTACCTACTTTTGTTATGCTTCGCATTCGGGCGTGACTCCCAGCGAATTTGTTGGCCCACAACCCTGCATAGAGAAGCAACCCCATCATAGTGAATCACACTCTAAAGCAAAATAATCTGGGACTGCGCATTACTTCACCTTATCATCATCTAGTAGTTCAAGGCGTTTTTCCTCTGGGTAGATTCGTGTTAAGTGTTTTCTCATCCAATCTCTCCTTGCAGTAAATTTACTTTTAATGAAGAGAAATGAAATGTGATGACTCAGAGTCTAGAATGTTCTGCTTTTTCACATATTTAGCCCGTTTTAGAACAATTCTGCAATTTCTGGTGATTCACTTTGGTTCAAAATAGCTTTAGAGAAGCGACAAAATTTTCACTCTCCTGAAATGGTTGAATGCAGTTAACCTTGGGTTTGCACGCAACAGAAAGGAGCTAAGCAGGTGGTACTTGAGCGAAAACAAACGATAATTGGATAAATAATGCTGAGGAGGAGCATCTCTATGTAAACTGGCTACCTGAGGCACCGTTTTGAGCCAGTAGACAATTCTAAGAAAGTCTTTCAAGAACGTTAAATTTCCGCTTTTCTGCGTTCATTTCCACGTATAATTCGTTGTCACATGTATGTGACGCCCTGATTTTTTAATCTGCACCTCTTTAGTCTTTTTAGAAGCAGTATTAACACGGAGTAGTATGAAAACTGGTTCATTATTAGTATGCAGAAATGCTAGGATGCAAAACACCATTGTAGCGAAAGGCACAAATACGGCGGCGACTGAACACCTCGCGGGTATGTGTGCCCCAGTAAAACAAAGTTCGATTCGAGACATCGATACAGCTCAGAGCATTTGATAATTTCACATTTTTTTTTGATCAAAAACCCCTCATTGATCATCTTCAGTTGTTTAGAGGCCATCCATTTTGCTGCCTCTTCCGGTAAGCAAAATCTCTGCAGGATCATTAAATAAAATGTGGAACTGCGTCATGATAATGGTGTTTCGCCCTCTTGGCATTAATCTCCCATCCATAACTAGTTCCCATAAATTAGCACATTGGGAGTCTTTGATCATTAATGGGCAAAATCGTGATAATTTTCGATGGGATACAACCTGAACTGCCAATGAGGGGATTAGGGTGACCCAGCCAATGAATGACGCGCTTTGGATGCGTCACCACAGAAAGTCCATCCATTCGACAGCAGCTTCACACACAAACACACACACAGACAAGCGCAAACAGTAGGTACCTGCACGACTTCCACCGCGTCTCGGTTGCACGTCGCAGACATCCGTACGTTACTTTCGTTTGCCTTCTCCCCTCTTTTGCATGCTCCTCTCTGAGTTTTGCCGTCTCTCCCAGCATCTGACCTTATACTGACCTGCAATGTCGATACAAGGATGAAAAAATCGGTGGCTGAAACAGTCACACAGACACGCATACTTTTATGGCTTAATCAAACCGCTCCACAAATTCTACTGCTTTTGGGAGAAATCGTCCCTTTTGCAGCTGAGATTCTACTCACAATCCCATTCCACTTATTCATCTGGTTCCTCTTTTATCTATTTTTTCCATAAAAAATTGGTTTTACTGTGCCGTTATTCAGTTCCGCTCAGAACTTTTGAAATGGCATTTTTGCCGCCAAAGTAAAGTCTTCCTTTTTTCACTTGGTAGCAAAAGACTTTTTGCCCAAAAAGGGTCAAAGTTCCCATTCCCGGCTCTCGAATCCTCGAAGGCCACCACTCGAATTCCCGCATTAACTAATAAGTAGCAGGCACAACAGCGGGCGAAGTCGCCTCGACTTTAACCACTTTATCCCGGTGCATGATCATATCAAAAGGAGATTTGAACGGGGATATCAAGGTCTTGACTTATAAAAAGGTGCATTAATGGGAATGGAATACTTTTAGACCTCTATTTGCGAAAATTGGTGGTTTTGAGGTCCTTTTTTTTTTCAAAACAGCTCATTCTTTTCGTGTTGATTCAACGGAGGTAGCTTGATAAAGATATGAAGTAGTTATGTATAAGTTTACCGCAAAGCAATTACCAATTTATACTGTTAAAGATCACTTAAGTCAACGCATAAAAACATTTACTCTTTCATCATTCGGCAAAAAAAAGGGGTTTTCAGGATTTATATAGGCAATTGTGAACCGCCACCACTTCAAATTCATGAGTTACAGTCAGCATTCTTCCATTGTTGCTATTTGAGGTGAAATGCATTTTTGAAAGAACTCCTAGCCTCTTTAACTGGTCAAAAAACAAATTCATTTTTGTCACCGTTGCAGTCTTTTGTTGCTAGACTGTCACCTTAGCAGTTAGCATTTTGTCGGTAGAAAGGGATTCACTCGGAGTGTAGTGCTTGAAGTCTTCCTCGTTGTCGCAGTGGGAGAGTGTACTACTTACCACCGCGTAGACGGGCTGTGAGGACACCGACATGGTGGTCCGAAGGCCACGCCGCCGAGCGGAGGTGCAGCCTGTAGCGACCCGAATACCCGCCTGCGACTTTCAACTCACGCAGTCAGACAAACCATCAGGTCGCAGTGATAGCAAGACGAGTAGCAAAGTCTCCAATTGAAAACTCACCTATTCTGTTAATATGAGATGCCAAACTTTAAATTGGAGTGACTCGGCTACGATTTTCCGCCTAGTCTTAAACTGTTCCAAAAGGCCGTGATTAAAAATGACGCCGTTAGATTTCTAGTAACGAGTGTATTACACTTCGTAGGTAGTCGTATGCAATGGAAGACACTTTTGCGGAAAATTTGATTAGCATCTGACGCTGAGTTGCTTATTTTGGGGCATTTTGCCTCTTTTTTCTTTCGGTTGCGAACAATGCCACGATTACCAGTCGTTCCTCTTATAAGTTGCTTTCTTACTACACACGACTCGGCATCTCCAAGAGCAGGTTTACATTACTCCATGGTTCCTTTGTTTTTGGTTAGGTCCCAAATTCCGTCAGATTTCGTCGACTACTTGCTGATGTGAATTAGGGGAGCAAACGAAAATTTGAGACCAACTTTTTTAAAGACCCTCAAAGAACAGAAACCGAATGCAGTGGGTGTAATATCCCTCAGGATAATTTGCCATGTCTTTCCAACAAGACCAAGGCGTGGTGTGAAGTCCACTATTGTGGAAACTGTTCTGTCTCTAGGTGACAGGAAAAGGCCTAGCCCTATGCATCACCTTTTCTATTTCTCATATGAGCATACAATTGTCTATTTGGATTAAGAGGTGGCAATCATCACGAGAGGGTAGACTGGAGGTTGAGGTGAGGCATTGTTCACCTCCCGTCACAGTCTAATTTACCCTCGTGGGAATAAAACTTTTTTCTCTCTGCTAGAGAAAAAAGTTTTTTCTTATATGCCTTTGAGTGAGGTGATAGGTCCCACCCTGTGGGGCCCGACCTCTAGCAACGGAACAATGGAGTCCGTCCTCTGAACAGGAAGTTGGGCCACAGGGGAGTAGGAAGGGTAATGGACATTACTTAACTAAGAAGACGCATATTTCAGGAAAAGATACACCAACCAACCAGCCAAGGCTTTGAAATTGCGTTGAACCCAGTCCGTGAAGCGTACAAGCTCGTGTCACATCAGGTTTTTAATCCACAATCCATGGAGGTTCATGCGTAGTGGGAAATGGTAAAGATCATACTTACAGATCGACGCACTTCCTCCCTTTGTAAACAAACAAATGCCTAAAGAATCGCACATACCTTGCAAGTCTCCATGACTTATAGCACCTCTTTGCAGCACCCTGTATTCAAAAATCGCATTGGCTTCTCTCGGTCACTTAATCACTCGACAGGATGCAGTTTTTAGTTGCATAAAAAGAAATGTAGGAGTGTGAATTGGCTAAAAATTTTTGGATGTTCTGAAAACAGAAATGGTTTAACAAATCTCGCGCAATTTTAGGACGCAGATGGCATCCGTAGGTCGTGTCTGGTAAAACACGGTGTTTTTATGAATAAATTCGAAAAATCTTGCATGAAATAGCTTCGGTTGTGCGATCTTCAGACACCGCAATAGCTGTTAGCATTCGGCTACAGTGAAGTCAAATTATCGCGGCTCAAAGAGCATCCAATGCATTTCCAGCCTCACGGGGAGGGAGGCGTGACTGAGGATTTGGGGGGATCACGCTGTGGATTGCATGGGACTTAGCATGGCGGGCAAAATGCCAGGTCTCCAGAGGTGAGGGAGCTTATTTGACACCAAACCCAAACAGAATGACATTGCATGTCCTCCCCCACTGCCTAATCGCAGTGTCGGCATGTTTGAGAGATGACGGTGAATTGCTCCATAAGTCGACATGTATCAGTCATCGCATAAACAATCTCTCCTTGCAGCTACCATTTATGGTCGCCACGATGGAGGGCTTAGTCACCCTCACCGACTCTGGTCTAACGGCTCTGCACGGATGAGGTGTCTGAGATCTAACACGAGTTGCCTCCGAACTTTTAATTAGGCCTAGTAATACGTAAAATCAAGGTTGTAGTGTTTAAATAATAAGGAAAACTGAAAAGCTTGGGAAGCAAAAGGCAAATTTATGTTCGACACTGCCTGTCACTACTATTGTGCACTTTGACCAGCGTTTGACTGGTGCCTGTAAAGCAGCTTTGGCGTGGGAAGATTTGTTAATGCGACTGAAACGTCCTGGGCCAGGACAGCCTATTTCACTTCGGTATAGATATTCAGCCCGTGGTAGCGTTCCCTCGTAAATGATTGTGTTGGGTTACATTCACCATTCTCACGGAAAAGGCGCGTCGCATGTACAGTCTCGTCACACAATAGATTATGCGCATTGCCTTAGGCTGGCAATCACTAGGGCCAGAATCACCACCGACATACGTATGGACAGCTGGCAAATGTGCCACTGCAACTGAGAGCCCCATCTCAGGAGCAGATGGCAGGAGCAGACACCCACGCGGTGGGGTTAACATGACATTCTCCCTTAACTGCGCCCCTATTCATGTACCCACTGTCATTTCTTGCCCCCTACTTTGATTAACAGTGTCCATGTCCGACATTTGCACCGATTTTTTACCAGTAGCGGGGCGACCTGTTTACTGCCCAACGTGGCAGCCAACTCATGTCTTATGTAGTTAAGTGATGCGGTTTAATGTGAAAATTTCACCACGGGTTTGTATGAACTAGAGGTCTTCTTTGGTACTCCAGGATGTGGTTAAGTGTGTCGAGATAATACACTGGAAAGAGGTGTGATTTGCTTGATGAAAAGACGGTCTCTACTTCTATGAGATTTGAGGCATTTCGTGGGTTTCGTTTATGATTTATTTCCCACCCAGATCTCCCCTTGCCTTGAGCATCGTACTTAGGTCTTCCAGATGTAAAATATTGCTAGTAGTAGTCCTTGAAAACTGTTTCAAATCTTACATTTACCGCTTTATCAGTGAGTAATTTGAATGAACCATCTCTACGCTGTAACAGAACGAATTCGGTCATGGATCATGCATTGTGTCAAGTGATGCTTTTTCACTCGTACACATTATAGCTAGTCCGCAAAGTTCCGATTGCTATCACACCAACTAATTCCCAGTTCTTTGAGCTATCCTAAATGAAATCATTCGGTACTTAGAAGTCTTGTTTCCATCTCGTGGTCATCAATTGGCCAAATCCTTGTAGGGCACCCTTACACTTGACTTTTTTGGAATCATCATCCTCTTCTGTGTCGGTTCCACGATCAATTTCGCGCCTTACAGCATCGACACTACGTTTCCTAAATCCATGGCTTTAATAAAGCTTCCCACAAATGATATTTTGAAGCTCGCACATTTTCTCGTAATATCGGCGGAGTAAGGCAGCAGTAAATCAAAGAAAACTACAAACAAGTAAAAGGGATTTCAACTGTCTAAAGAGACAGAACCCTCCATCTTCTTCGGCTAGTCGGTATGTAACAAAGTGGACTCATCCGGCAGAACGAGGAGTAGCACAAATGCGGCATTGAGGCTAGGCAGGCGCTAAGCTGCGCCTACTACTGAAATCGGAGTCTTCAGTAGTTCGCACACCAAAAGAAATGAGTGGCTTGATTTCTTGCCGTGAAGAAGGGGTGCGAAACGCTAGGCATGTTTAAAAAAATATTAGCAAGATCAGTTTTCCTCTTTTTACCAAATATACCATATAACGCCCAATAAAAACGCTATCATGAGGCCATTATTCAACCTAGGCATAGGAACCTCAGCATACCGCGAGATTTTATTCGTCTGACACCTCGATTTTCTTGCTTAACCACAAGTCACAGATATATGACACTCATCCTTCCATCATACAAACATCGACAGTTTGTCGACTTGATAGAAGCCCTGCTGTGCCCCGTGCCTTTCCGCATCAAAAGCACCCACTCTCCTAGCAACTTTCTTCCTTTTTATCACAAAAAAAAATTAGTTTTGGAAGTGGCTGGTTGAAGCATCTGCGTACAATAATGAGGGAAATGTAATTATGTGACCACTTTGATCCGCTAGTAATGTGCCGACAGTGCACCCACGCCTTCTCCTCATTCACATTCAAGTCGGATTTCCCGTGATAGGTTAAAACGCTGGGGGCTGTTTGCTGCCCGCTCATTCTGTCACGCTTTTTGTATGGCACAAATTTTGTTTCAGAGACGTAATTTTTTTAGCCGTCAAGTTAAGTTTGCAGTCACGCGGAGCGAAATACTCTCCCAGGCAATTTGGCAGCGATTTTTCCATCATGCTACTCCCATTGGGATAGCTGGTACGGTGCTGCCGGATGAATCGTCAGTCAAATGTCAAAATTGTGGAGGATATTTAGCCTAATTGTTACTATGTTTATATGCAATCATCTGAGTACTTCGGTCTAAATTGTCCTGCCATTTGCTGCTTCAATCTGGGGCTTCAATTAGCCTTTTAATGTCAAACTCCAAAAATTGCAGGCGAGAGTGAAGAAAAAGCAATTGCGGCGCATTTAAACAATTATAGGAGTAAAAAACCTCCTAAAATCTGGCTTTAATTAATTAATTCTTTTTTGTTTCATTGAGCTGGCACGGGGTTTTCATTAAATGAAATCAAATTTGGACAATCTTGAAGTAGGTCTTTGTGATGCAGCTCACTCGCAATAACTCACTCCACTAAATAGGAAGTCCGTTGCCAAAAAATATCATTACCGATTCGTAATTAACGGAATTAGATACAAAATTTTATCAAAATGAACCACTGCATTACTAATAAACACGTCTCCTGCCAGCGTCACACATGCGTGACATATGTTCATTGTCAGTTTATAATGTTTGCTTGAGCAGCTAGATTGATTGATTCCACTTGCTCCAGTTTCTAGGCTGAATAGCTGTGGGGATGGATTTGTCTCTGAGACACTAAAAAACCACGATCCGCTAAAGTCAGAAGAGGGTGAGGAGTTGCACGCCTATGATTGGCTAACTCTTGTGTTGGATTTTAGAAGACGATGTTTTTTTCTGTTGGTAAAGTGTAAAATACGCAATTTAATTTAAAATCGCTTAAAATTTGTTCAATCATGTAATCAAATAGCTCAGAAGACCGTTTAATTATCTTATTTGCTAGTTCTGTCTATGATATTGTAAGGCATGTCAGTGTCGGTAGCGCCTTCCTTGCTGCCTCCCTCCCTCTAACTTGCTTCGATAACGTTTCAAGCGCATTAGATTATGAGCATCAAATCTGAAGATTTGGGTAAGACCAGGCTCTAAAAAAGCATGCGGTTACTCATCTCCAAGTCATGCAGGTTGTGTGGGGATACTAGAAGCGGTGTCTCGACTAAATTTCTCAGTAGCATTTTCCATCCAAGGTCTTTAAAACTATAGCCAGTGTCTAGAGGCGGGTTTTAGAATGTATTGTGGGTAGGGAAGTGCCATGACGTACCCTCCATTGCCTTATTGGTGACGTGTCTGAGCTACTAAGTAATCCCAACATTTCTGACAGTATCTGATAGTAGGAAAATACTTCCATCTTTAACCTCGAAGGCGTGAAGAGACCTCTTTCGACTTCTAAATGCTAAAAATTATGTTTACATTCATGCTAAATGCAGTTTTTTGCTTTAATTTAACAGGTAGCTTGGCTGACGACCACGTGGCAGTATAGATATGCTGCTTCGCCAGACTGACAGCAGTTGGCGCTGGTTGTCCCTCATTCACCACTTCAGCTGATACTCATATTCCCAGTAGTGTAAACATTCTTAGACCCGGAACCTTCCAACATCTGTTTTATTGTTTCAAACTCACCTAATCTGTTTACTGCCCTCAATTTTACTAATATGATCATTGGATGGAAGCACACAATTCACACGTTTGTGAAGTCGGGCACCGGTAAATAAATTGGGTCGTCACACATCTGGTAGCTAACGCATCAAAGTGTATTTTGATATAATTTGGGTATTCCAGTTGAAATCCAGTTCAAATTTGCTACTTCTAATAAGTTCTCACGTGAACTTATCTGGTGGTATACCTGAAAGCAATGGAGGCTTAACGAAATCTGCTAGCTTGAAATCTCCCGAATGCACGGATTCATTGATTTGCCCAGCGCAACAAAGGCTGATTAAGCTTTCAAAAGCGGAGGTTCTTCCTCAAATGCTGCCGGTTTTTTCAGTCTGGCGCGATGATTGTGCCGCGGAAAGAAAAAAGGAGTCCAGGTGAAGAGGAGAAAGAGGAGGAAACCGTTGTGTGATGACTAACTTTGACTTGCCAACAACCTAGTCAATAACATTTGTGTTGTCTGTGAGTCAGGCGGAGGGCAAGACAGGACTAAAAAAGCTTTAGTAGTTAATCTGAGAGGATTTGACTGAACTTTGCGGCAACGCGCGTGTACACCCTTAGAAAAACGCGTCAAAATGTCTGCTAGGGTGTAGCCTTGTGACTCAGAGTGCCTCACCAATCGCTAATTCACTAGGCTGGCAACCGACTGACGGTTAGTGGGTGGAGGGATGGCTGTTTTTTGAGGTGGATGGACTGCTAGATGGATGGATGAAGAAGGTTCAGCAACAAGAGAGAATGGTAGAAAGACAGATCTCAATTTTCCTCTACGTTGCTCATCACTGCTTCTGTGGCACTTCTGTGTTGATGGCATTCATTCACCAGATATCTACCTTGTCAACTGGAACCTCCTTAATACCCTTGGATAACAACACTTCTTCTGTAATCTGAACCTAACCGTTGGTAAGTCTCGAAACATCACTCCAAACCATAAGCTCTTTGAATTGTGTAGTTTTTTTGACCACGAGGAGAAGGGCTTTTTGAAGGAGAACCTGGCGGTGGCTCTTTATTTGTGAATGTCCTTATATAGTATGTTGGTTGGATCCAAGTATGTGAATTGTTTCTCTGTTACCTTTGTTGCTGAACTAGCTAAAGTAGGGCCGAGAAGTCGGGGAAAGCTTGACCACGTAGGTAAGAGATCTTTCTCAAAGTTTACACACGACGTATTGTTAATCTTGGAATCACCGCGGTTGATGACTAAGGCGAGGAGATTGATATACTCTACCTTCAACCTGGCTTCTCACGATCTGCATTTTGTGACAGATATTCTGCGGAATAGCCCATGGAAGCCTCGGTAACAGGTAACGATTCTAATCTATCATTGGTTTGGTTAAAACCAAAGTTTCTGAACCTCGGTGGCATAAAGTGGTCAGCTCCTTATTACCAAACTTAACTTTGCGGCTCAAATTCATCGCAGCGGTAGATTGTGTCGTGCTTTAGGTATAGCCAAGCGTAAGATATGGAAAAGAGACGAAAGTAATTCCATATCCCAAAAGCTCAGCCTGCTCTCCAGTATTACTGTGGTCATTGGAATTATTCGCAAACCAATGGCTCTTTCGCTCCCCCTTTTCCCTAATCCATGGGTACCCGAAGGAAATCAGTCATGTACCCTGAAGTTGTGCCCAACATAGCAACGCAACATAGCAACATACCCAATGCAACATAGCAAGGGAGTTCCAAGAACGGCTTTAATTTAAGTGGTAAAATATGAAGTTATAGGGTTAAGCAGGGAGTAATCGCAGAGCACCCGCTTTATGACAATAGATGATAAAATCAGCTCTTAAATCCTAGCCTCTACTGCACTCGAATTGGCACTTCTGTGAGGTGTCCAGAAATTTTTTAGTCTAAATTGGGAAGCAGGCATGGAAGTGAACTGCTCGTTTGTCACAAGTAGGCACGAGCCTTGATGCCAGTATAACCAAAGGCCAGGTATTTGGAATGCGCGCACATGCTCTCTCCAGCCAATCACAGCTAAGAGCGCGCCTGATTGGCTCACAAGGTTCGAGATGGCTGGCCGAAGAGGTGGTAAATGAGCGAGCGAGAAAGAGGCAACGCTGAGGAGGGTATCGTCGTGCATTTCTTTGTGGGATTTTTCTCCCTAAGATGGATTTTAAGACACCTCCGCCACCACCACCACCGCCACCAGTAAGGGGCGGGAGTGAGGGAAAGACTCGAAGCGGAATTTGTCCTGCCGTCCCTCCCAGGATTTGTTCACATCTCTCCAGTTCAATTGCGCCACCTACGAGTACACCCGACCAAAATTCACCCGTTTCTTACAGGAAGTTTAGATCTGCTGTAGATCCGGTACGCCTCTAAGTCCACTTTACTTTAATGGATTGGCAACAGCTTTGCTTAGACGATTGTACGTTGTCGAACTGGACATTTTTCCGCAAGTTCTTTGCGACTTTATGCACCATGTAACACCTTTAGCTGAGTAAATTTTACATTTTAAAGTTAACTATCGAGCTCTAAGTTTGTGTTGGCGAAATGTGTTGCAGTTGACCGTCCACAATTGCATCATTGTCGTGCATCCAGGTGCTTGAACTGTTTTCTCACACAGGGCAGTGTCTCTCTTTCTGTTGCGTTGTCAGTGAGTCACCTTCGTCATCACAGGCATCGTGAAATTTGATCCCTGAAACCCCCACCGATCTTGTTAACACGAAAGTGAATCAACCGGTCTGATTCTCCACGGATTTGAGAAGCAAGGTTAAGGAGTCCGGGTGGCAGGGCGTAAGGGGACTTCTTCCTCGGTTGATATGCATTTTAGTTGTCGAAAAATTTGAGAAAATCCCCTCTCGGTCGGCAAAACCATCTCCCTCTCTTCTTTTTTTGTCAAAAAAAAAGTAAAACAGTCTCGAATTGTCAAGTTGTGTTGCGCAAGATGCAAAGGTTTTTCATCACAGCAGACCAGACTCAAAAAGTTGGATGCATTGGGTGAGCGTGGGGAAGGCAAAACAGCAGGAGTGCTGTGGATGTAAATAAATCAAAATGTTTCAGCTTTTCCTTATTCTTATGACTAGTCTTAGCGGAGAAACCGAAATACGCCCCATACTGCGTGATTTATGAGGCAGAGCTTTATCCCTTTTTGTGGGCAAATTTAAGTCTACTTAGCGAGTTTTCCTTTCGTTTCGTAGAGGCACATATTTTCCTGAAAGTAGACTAAATTCTTAAGCAAAAATCTCTCTCAAACGAAGGCTTTAAAGTTATTTTTTTATATTTCATCCCAGGATTTGCGGATCATCCTTCCACTATGCAATTTGGAGGAGTAATTAGAACAAAAAACGGGAAAGAATTTAACAACCTGTTAAAAATTAAGGTCTTAACGATTAAAACAGAGTAGGATTAAGTTTATTCACTTGCTTGGAATTATACGAGTCCCTGACTGGCATCCGAAATGTGAATTTATGAAGGTTTTAGAGCCCTTTCAAAATGATTGTTTTCATGACTTTCACGGCTATTTTCTTTTCACTTTCTCCGACACGAAACAACTAGGGAGAAAAGACGAATTATTTTTTGGGTTTTCTTTGCCACACGGTTGTGCTTCTCAAGAGGCTGGACGAGGTGCTGCCTTCATGGCATCCATTTGTTCACCCAAGGTCATCGGTTGGGCCTCCACAACCTTGTATCCCCACTAATGAGGCTCATCTGTCGCATAAATTACCCTCCTCTGCAAAAATAACTGGGACTGATGTAACCGAAATCCCATTTTTTTTATCTCTTGAAGTACTTTGAACAGGTTGTTGATTTGCCAGTAAAGTGATGGATGAGTTTTCCTGTTTCTGCATTCGATCAAATAAAATGTCGGCTTATTTTAAAGGTGAAAAAAAATTCCCGGCTTAATTTGTTTCTTCACAGCATTTATTCTTTGCCCTTAAAGCCCAAGTAACTAGTGTAAAGCAATTGTCTTATACCTAGACTGACGCCCTTCTCCTTTTTCGGCGTTGTTTTGCGTGTTTTAAGGGTCTACCAGAAACCCTATCACTTTTCATCATTCGTAGGCTTTCAGACGTGTTTGCTCCTAAGTGTGGGTGTTTCAGTCACCACTGATCATGATAAAATTTGCGGCTCATTGAAGCATTCAAAGGTCAACCATTGAGACGCTGACCTGTTTAGCACACGAACGCTGTCCTAATAAGTGGCAACATTAAAATACGCTAAAAGCAAGAACTTTTTTCAACTGAATTTCCCATCACTTTTAGCCTACAGGTCTTGCGACAGAGAACCTCACGTCGACTCAGCACCAGACGATGTTCAGCTGCCTTGGAAAGGGGAATCCAGGTGTAGAAGGTGATTCCAGCAGCGCTGGTCGAAGGCACACCTTGGGCGGCTCCGCTTCAGTTACTGGAAGATCCAAAAACTTAGCTCAGAGTCCCTTTTCTCAGATCTCTCCTGCTAGGCATACTCAGGCAATGCCATCTCCTTGGGCTGCTCAAGGTGAACTTTTCCTCTTGCGTTTTCTAAGTAATTCTATTATCTCGAGGTCTGGGGATTTCCTAGACACCAGTAACATACTCGCCATGTCTTGAGAAGTTTTACATTCCTCTTTTTTTATTTTGAGCAGACAAACTTGCTTTTTGTAATTTTTAATCTAAAAATATTTTTGATAAGATCTAGTCAGAAATTTTTCCCAAGGCCGTATCAGTACGTTTCACATGGCGGTAGCAGTGGTAAAAACTGATTTATTTTGAAACGCAAAAGCGGAGACTTGGTCTTTGATTCCGGTCTACAAAATCGGCTCTATTTACAAAAAAGGTAAAAAATAAAGTGTCTCACGACTCCTTGAGCTCTTTACAGGAGGGGAAGCGGTTGATTGGGCAAACACGGAAGCAAACCTAAAAGGCCACAATTTTCAATCCTTTTGTGTGATTTGAAGGCTGCACCGCATTGTTTACTATGCTTGAAGCCTTTTCACACCTCATGCGTTCTTTATTTGTAAAAAGTATTAAACTTGTTCTTCTCGCGACTGGTGTCACACATGAGTGACGCCACCAGTTATTACCCTCCGTGTGAGAAAACAACTTATGACGTTGACACACTTGCTGTTGGCGGAAGATGTATCCCATTCCCCCAGTTTTGATACCTGAGATTCTTAAACATGTGTGATGCCTTCTCATGATCGGTCTCTAAGACTTCGATGCCCCGAATTGGAGCGCATCGGGATGAGGGGTTTTTTGGTCTAAGGCTTCTTACACGGACTGTAGCTGTTGTGGCTAGTCCTCCACTACGGTTAACAGTGAAGGTATTTCGAATGTGCCTTAGTTGAAAAGGCTTCCTTAACTTCGTAAACAGCCGTTTCATTCGACATCTATCCGAGAATTCGGCCTTGTCGAGTCAGGCTATACAATCTGCACAATCTACGGCAAAAGCGGTTTGAGGTAGTTATATAGTGTCACAAAAACCCAATGCAATCTCAACTTCTTTGAATTGGTTTCGCCTGCTTTGTTGTTGGACAGGGCCTACAACACACTCCTAGTCTTACCTAACTTCATCTGCAATCCCGTCTGCATCAGTTTTCAATATACTTCTCGAGATATCGTTGGCATAGAAACTGTGCATGAATTAAGTTAAAAACTGGATCTTTATAATATTTAAAGTAGTTGGAAGTTGACCATAATTTCTTTTTTTTTACTGGATTTCATATGGTATGAATAAAAACACAGCAGAAGAGAGAGAGAGGTAACTTACTTCCCTTCATTGCAAATATAAACACCGCGGTTGTTAAATTATAAACGATTTCAGTCTTTTTTCTACCACTTTTTTCCTCGTTTCCACCATGCATTTTCACAGGAATAAATTTTAACAATCCCAGCGAACAACGTTTTGGTTTTTTTTGTGAAAGAATTTGTGTTTATCAGGAGTTAAACAGACATCATTGTTACTCCTCCATTTGTCCCAGTCTTTAATATTCTTGTGCCAACAACAAGAAGTTCTTTACCATGCAAAAATTTGTCAATTTAAAAAAAAAAATTAAAGTGAATACTGAAAAAAAGCCTTTTAGGAAAACGGCACCAGTTTAACCGATTTGTGAGACATGTTGATTGGCGTACCTGAGCCCGATGCCGGAAAAGATGAGGCCTGGGTTTTCCGTGCTTATAGGGATGCCTGTCGGATGCATCAACTGAAGGGATTTTCTTAGTCCCAAGGACAACCACAGCAGTTAAGGCTGGCAGAAGTTGCATTGCTCGGTTCAGCGGTGGGAGTTGCGGTGTCACACCGCGGGTGAATGCGGTGGTCAATGCCTCGCCGAGAAGACTGACTTGTGAATCTAGTCCACCGTGTTCATTAACTTTCTATCAAAAAGTCACCACAAATCCTCGCCAATGTCGACCTTTGTGTTAGAAAACCAAAGAGACCAAACGGGCCGTGGGTAGGTATTACTGTTTCAAAAGACAGAATGTCTAAAATCTCCGAAAAATTTGGTTTTCGCCGCTAGCTCAACACACTTTTACTTAACGTCCTTGCACTTCGTCTCTGCATCCTTCTGTGTTACTTTTCCAAGTTCCTTTTCCAAATTTTTGAGCCCACTTTTTATCATATTTTAAAGTACCTTTCTAAAATAGTACCATTTCTTTCAATCTGGAAAACTGGTATGTTCTCTGCATTGGTTGGGCTAAGGCTACACAATCTGAGTAAAAGCGTTCACAGGCTTTCTCACCCTGACGCGTTTTTCGGTTGTGCCTTTTTTTCGGCTCACTGAGCCGTGATAAATGCCCTCCCTGACTGAAGAGCCGGAGTATTTTGTGGGTTCGAAAACGCCGCTATAGAAGGAGGGCAAATTGTGCTGCAGGAAACCTTGAAAGGTAAACGCTTTCACTGGATGGATGGAGTGCCCTTCCTCCCTCCCATCCTCCTCCTCCTC